CGATTGATAAATCGTGTGTTCTTTTACAGAAATGATTGTGGTCTGCAATGTATTCTTGTTTTCTATTTCAGTTATTTATCGCATAACTTAATGATTTTTAAACTGATAAATAATTTTCTCATGACTATAAATAACGCAAAAAGAGTCAAAATAGTTTGAAAATTTTACTATGTATGGAAAATTCAAGTATAAATTTTTTACTTTTTTTGTTACAGGTGGAAAAATGTATGTAAGTTCACAACAAACATAAGTTGTTTAACTTGCCCTACCAATAATATCACTTTATAAAATAATTAAAAGCGATTTGCAACCAGTTATAAGATTTATGATGAAAAAATTAATTCACGGAAATCATTAGTTGTTATCGCATAACCTTACGGAGTTCACGATTTTCGGTTTACGCACCCGTACAACGCTTAAAGTTTACCTAGCTTAAGCCTTAAGTAGATACTTATAACAAATAACAATTTTTTTAACCTAGTTAAATCAAGGTCTTCAGAATTATGGTGCAAAAATAATTCATAACAAGTTTTACATAACAAGTCGAGGGATGTTTTTAATTATAATTGTCCGAGCGAGCACAGCGTGCAAGTGAATACGCCGCGCCGGGTAGGTATATAGGAGATAACCAAAAATTTCAATTAGCTATAACTTTAAAATAGACTTCACTATCATTTTCAATTAAAAACTAATGATTTTCGGCAATTCATTTTTGCAATATCGTTCTTAATTCGTTTTAACTTCGTGGGTCTAGAATGAAAAGGTTCTAAATCGTTAATATGAAATTGTCCAGGAGAGCAATTTTAAGGTTTGAGTTAAAATAACTTATTCCTTGAAATCATTTTGTTTAAATTAAAGTTCTAAGGCATGCAGCAACTTGTATAGTTTAATTCACATCATTATAATAATAATTTGCTGTATTGGTTGGTATTAAAATTAATAAAATACATATTTTATAAATTGGTTCTACAATTAGGAACCTTTCAACAAAATAAAAATAAATATATTCATCAATTAGAACTTTTTCATTCTTAACTGTTATTTGTATTATTGTTAGCTGAATAGTTTTGTTTTATAAATTCAGGCATAATTCGAATACAACTTTTTGTATTCTAATTGTTAAAATGTATCTTAAAAAAATAATAATCCTTTAAAATTAAGTACTTATTCATATTTTGAATAATTCACTCAGTTACTAGTAAATTTTTTGAACTTAAAAAAAAAATGCATTTGTGTGAACGGCTAAAATTGTGTATAAAGCATCGGCCAAAGCATCAACATACATATTTTGTATTACATTTTAGTATATGATTATGGTAGACAAATGTTGATTAAAGCGTAAATAACAAATTTTAAAAAATGGCATTTGGCTAAAGTTATATAGTTGTCAAACCTTATTATAGTCTTTAAACTTATTTAGAGATATATGTAAGACAATAAAAGGTTTATTTGAGTTACCTTTTAAGATCTAACAAATGACAATGGTGACCAAATATCTATTTTTTTTATATGTTTCATAATCTGTGAATATACATTATCCACTTCTTGGATGCACGAGTGACCTGGGACTGAAAACATCATTGTAACGGATTTTGTTTTGGGATTCTTCAACATAAACCCAATAATGACATTATCTTATTCCAGTTTTGTGGCACACAACTATCAGACCATGTAACAATGTTTAGTATACCTACCCAAATTATTATATTGTAATATGTTAATAAACACACTTGCAAGGTCATTTCCTGATATACCAATAATTGTTTCATTCCAAATAGCACAATATATAGTATTGGAAGTAGACAAATGAGCTGTACGGTTTTAAACATTTATTTTTGAAGTAATTAAAGATTTATAATTAAGTATAAATAAAATTTTATCTTTTCTGCTGAGACTATAGTATAAATCGTGAATACTTATTATTTCATCTCGATCAAAATTAACTAAACAACTATATGCACAACTATTACAAGACCTTAGAAAGTTTACAATTTTGGCTGGAATTATTTTGCCTGTTTTAGATACATGTTCAAGTCCTTTTTCAGTCAAATCATTATTGATTGATTGTTTCCAATTTTTGGGATTTCTTTGTTTTTTTCTGGTAAACTTATTATCCATTTTGATTGGTGCCTTTTGTGATGGTGATTCTTCACAAGATGATTATTCAACTAATCTAAAACATGACAAATTATTTTAATTTTGTTATTAAATTACAGTTTGGTGTATTTACTATCTTATATTATAATTACTAAAAGACATAGATTTTAAATGTAATTTGGGTATTCTTAGGTATAGCATGCACTCTGTGCAACATGTTTGCATTTATGCAATACACTTTTAGTCTATTTCCATAAGGTTAATATAAAAATTAATAAAATAGTAACACTACTATAAGCGCAGCGACGAGTGTCGCAAGACGTGTTATCACTATACATACCTAGTGGCTAGTACATACTATACAACATAACTTACCCTGTTACCTACTTGTGGTGGTGTAAGGTGTTGCATATCAAGTCAAGGGATACTTTTTTTGTTTTTTACACTGAAAACCATATAAGGAGACTGACAAAAAGTAAAACCAATTCTAATATTTTATATTTTATTTTTAAACTAAAAAAAAACTGTTTGGGATTCGTCCTCGGATTCTATCTCAGAGTCGGTGCCAGATTCCGACTCTGCAGACTCAACAACATCGGTTAACATGTAGTAGTGATAGGCGACGGGAGCGAGGTCCCTTGAGTTTAAAGACCAGAGCCACTATACTTGTGATACTTCAACTAACAAGGTTAAAATTACTTGTTAGGTCACCCGTCTGCCCGAAGGGCAGGTATGTTCTCCCCCCCGCGACCCCGAAGGGGTCGCCACCCCTCCCCCCCAGGTTTGCTATTTAAGCCCCTGGGGGTTTGGGGGCCGAGCCCCCATTAAGCGAGAGGTCCGCAGGACCTCGAGTTTGGCGACCGGAGCCGGTAGGCGTAGGGAGCTTCTATAGACTTCTGTTACTCTAATTGGCGACCGGAGCCGATAGGCGAAGGGAGTCACTATATACTTATGCAAACAGGCCAAGGAGTGAAAACACAAATTAACTATGGATACGGACTCGTAACTTTTAATATAAAAATATCGACGTCCTCCGCGGAGCATTATAGTAGTGTTGCGCGCATGCGTATAAACGTAAAATCGCAAACTTTGGAAGGCTGTAACTTCCAAAATAATCATTTCCGCAAACTAATTTTTACACCATCGTTTTAAACTCGTCGAAATACATAGGTTTCCGAAAAAAAAAATCGAAAAATTCGAGTGGGCGCTAAACTAGAATTGTTCCCAGGTTTGTTATCCCCCCGCCATTCATATAGATAATAATAATATAAAACAGTGATATAATTAAAAAAGTTTATTTATTGACGATATAATATATAATATTTAAAAAAATGAATATTAAAAAATTGAATATAATAATAATAATAAATATAAAAAAAATGATATAATTAAAAATGTTTATGCTTTATGTGATTCCCAAAATTCTGCTATATCTTTTAAAATGGTTTCAAACGGATCACTATTATTCAGTTTTGATCGCCACATAAATTCTGCCAAGTACGAGTCTAAAAAATTTCTATCCGTCCCTCTACGTTTTTTGTTGCCCCATTTGGCCGAATCCCACATTCTTTCAACATTTTGTGTGTGGGTTCCTGAGTTAGGGTCCACGAAATTATATTTATGATTGACTATTGATTATGTTGAAAACCATGTTGTTGCAAATTAGCATAAGCTTTCCAACTGTCAGAGTAAGTTCATGAGTCCAAGAGTATATAAAATACACAATACTATTTATCGCCATTATCGGCAATCTCGAACCGTTCAGCCAATTATTTACCCTAATACCTTTCTCTTTACGACAATCCCTTCGTTGACATCGCCACCTCGAACCTTTCAAAAACATTTCGTGACCATTATCACATGTATTGGTCATTTCAATTATATTTTTGGACTGGAGAAATTGAATTCCGGCATTTATATCGGGCACTTGTGTTAACAAATCTTTAAAATTCATGATTATGTCTGAAATGCGAACAAATACGTGCTGTGATGTTTGATCGGTATAATATCAGTTTATTATATTATTATATTATTGATTATTTGTGATGTACACCTATGGTATTCACCTAATAGTTATGGTATTGGTACGTATTTTCCGTCTCATTATTTTATATTTATTATATTATCGCGGGGCGATAACAAACCTGAGTGGCGGGGCTAATAATAGTGATCTGTTTGAAACCATTTTTAAAGATATTATTATTATATATGAATGGCGGGGAGATAACAAACCTAAGTGGCGGGGCTATAAAGTTTTCACTCGCCGTGGCGGGGCTATAACAAACCAGTAAGTACCACAATTTTATCCGGTTTTGAACCCAAAAATCCTAATAGAGGTCTCGATTACACGTGTAATGAACTACACGGATACCCGTGTTTTTACACAAGACGGGGTTAAGGCCCGTGTAATAAAAATACCCGTGTATACCCGTGTATTTAAATACCCGTGTTTTTAATACCCGTGTTTTTAATACCCGTGTTTTTTAATACCCGTGATCTTGAATACTCTTATATTTAAATAAAATCATATTTTACTACTTTGCAGTTCTGACTTACGATTGCTCCACTTCCTGAATTCAATATGATAGAACACATCATATTATATTTTGTTCACTACCTCTTAGTATTTTGCGTCATAACATTTATCAATAATATTAATAAATTATAATAAGTAAATAAATGTGTGTATTTTAAATTTCGTTTTTACAAAAAAAGTTGCATTTGCATGATTATTAAATAACAAAATAACAATAAACATGTATATAAATATATTAATAAATTAATAAATTCTAATAATAACAGTTTTAACAGCAATAACAATAATAATATAGTGTAAAATAAATACAAAATAATAATGACAATATTAAATTAATCAATGACCAAATTACTTACAATCTATGAAGTTATAATAATTGTTTGTTCTGGTGAAGAAAAATCAGCATGTTTACGGTCTCGGGCGCCAAACAACTTCTCTTGGCCGTCACTATGTTTCCAGCGGTTGAGAAACATCTTTCAGAACTAACTGACGTTGCTGGTATCCCTAAATATTTCGTTGCCAGAGCAACAATCAGTGGATATTTTGATGCACGCGTCTTCCACCATTCTAGTGCATCAAAATCAAATTTTAACTGTGGTTCTGCCAAGTAATGTTGATACTGAATGTCATAATCAGCTGTATTACAATTTACTTCATCACCGAACAGAAATTCAAGAGCACCGTGATGTTTAGTGACAGGTGTTTCAATTTGTACATCGCAATTAATTTCAGCTATTTCTTTTATCAAATGTTTAACCCGTGTCCGAATGTTTTCTCTTGCATCAACCGTTTCATGCTCTAAGTCCTTGAATCTTGGGTGTGGGTCGAGGAAAGACGCTATTTGCCGAGCAGACACGACACTAGAAGGACACCACAATAATTTAAAACGATCTGATAGTTCCCTAATTACAGTAGTTTTAAAATGTTCTGTTATTTCATCATCACTTACATTATGCTTTAAATGCTTTTCTATAACTGCGTTTATGAGAGGCCTAACCATTGAAATAGAGCAATATTTTTCGCCACAAAAAACCGTGGTCATAATTTGTAGAGGTTTAAGCAATTTAATTAACGTTTCTACATCTGTCCATTGGTGCTCTGTCACTTCAAATTTGTGTGCCATTGCTGCTGTAGTCAACGAACGATCAGCAAGAACATTTGAAATCGGGCACCTATTTTTATAAAGTCGATCAAGCATCATATATATAGAGTTCCATCTGGTTTTACAGCTTTGAATTAATTTTTCTGTTGGCAAACCTAGTTGGTCTTGCTTATCTTTTAAATACTGACTAGCTAAATTCGAATGCTTAAAATGACAAACAATCTTACTACATAATTGAATTAAGTTATCTATTTTATCATATTTTAGGCTATTATTGACAGCAAGTTGTAATGTATGTGCGGCACATGTTAAATCATCCTTACTTGAATTAATTACATACCTTGGATTTTGAGTATTTCTGCTTATATTGTGAATCAGTTTTAAATGTCTGCCGAATGATCCCGTTGATCCACCAGCACAGCAAAACACTTTATTTGAATTATCGTCACACAAGTCACAAAAAGCTTTATCGCCTTGGCGTTTGCCGTATTGCCATACCCAACTTTTATAACGGAAACTCATTTTTCAAAGGATAAATATTTAATATGTATAATATAAGTGTCGAAACTACACTTCACATAGCAATAGTGAATAGAGGCACAATGAGGTATGGAAAAATTTTAAAATAACCAACAATTTTTAGATTTAGATACGAGGCATACCTACGTAAAATGCAATGCAATAAAATTGGCGATAAGATAGTTTTGCGATTGTTTATGCTTTAATTTTAAAACCAGTTTAAATATTACTATTTTATATATTATTGCACTTATCTGTTTAGTTGATTAGTTTATCTTGTACCTATATAATATTATACGATAAACGAATGCATCTTACTAAACATAACTAAAAACTATCCATAACATCGCTAAATAATAAAATATAGGTAGGTATTTATAATGCTATACAATTTTTATTATTAATTAATAACCAATTAAAAATTATTGGATTTGGTTATAGGTACACGGGTAATGATAAATAAATACACGGGTATGTACGGGTATTAAATACACGGGTATACACGGGTATTAAATTCACGGGCTTTAATAATTTTTTTCCCGTGTATCCGGGCTCCGTGTACCCGTGTATTCTAATACCCGTTCACAACCACGACCTCTAAATCCTAACCCGCTTCCAACATTTTTTACCCGGTTTCTAATGTACAATGTACGAAACACGTAACATTTTAACTCGTTTTCACTCCCTGGACTTATATATTACCATGTGACAAATACAAATCCCTAGCTCAGTGCCTGAAGAACCTCGTTTGCCTTTCCAGAGGCTCAAAGCCTGAAACTCACTTAAATTCACCACAAGTAAGCTGGCAATATGGGCGAATGCTGTGCTACGACAAAGTTAAAAACTATAAGTTAAAACCTATTCAATGAATCATTGGATATTATTTTTTTTTTTTATATTTAAAATGTATCTTTTACAGTTTTTGCAATACCAATTTATATTAATTAATTATTATTTATTTATGGTCGTCGATCGGCGTTCGCACGTTCTCGTTTTAGATGTAGATTAGGCCTACCGGCTACCGGGTATACCACAATAAAAAAAAACGCTCCACGTATAGTAATACCTCATGCTTTCAAGCAGTATGGATGATATAATATGATATATTATCTAGTTGTTTAACAAGCCAGCAGGTGGTGAGGAAACTTACACAGCCTCATTGTCTTAAATTGCGTAGGTACTCAAAGTTGTGATAAAATAATGTACCTACTACATAATATGGTGATTTCTTTATGAGTAAACACCTGTTTCTAATTATTATTAAATATCAATTCGATAATATTGACAGATGAGAAGTATTGACGTTATTTAAGGCACTATACAAAATAATCACTGCTAAAATCCCCCTATACATCCAATATCATATACATACAACATACGAATCATTCTGATCTCCCATTTAACATTTTTTTACCTAAGATTTAAGTACCTATCGTTTATTTTCGTTTGTCGAACATAAACATATTATTTCTTTACAGAGACCATGACCAGAAGCCAGAAGCAGTGGTGGACTCAACTTAAATTTTGAATGGCGTATTTTCATAATTAAGAACTTACCAGTTACCACCACCACCACCACCATAATTATAATTTATAACTTATAACAAAGTTTATATTTGAAGTACAGTATATTTCAAGTACATAAATAATATTTTTATACTATTAATTTTTATTTTATATTTGGACTGACTACGTTTAAGTTGTCAGTCCTAAGTCTGGATACATTTTCGTGTTTGAACTTACGTACGGATGTATTTTTTTCCGTGAGGGAACTTACCCGCTTACCTGCCATATTTCTTGTGGGAACTTACTAAACCCCGAGGGATTAGCCACCCAAAAGTCCGTCAACCCTCCTTGTTTAGTTTTGTAGGATCGAAGCCCCCCTCCCCCCTCCGATCACATTGATGCTAATAATGATTAATGGGTAAACGGACGTTTCGCCCCGCCGTTTCGTCCCCGTCAAAAAACCAGTAGGTACACGGACGTTTCGTCCCCGGCAATTATTGAGATAGGACGTTTCGTCCAGCAGAGTTATTAGAAATAGGACGTTTGGTCCGCGGCGATAATCTAAAATCTAAATACATTAATTTTGAATGAATAGTTTAATGTTTAAATGACAATACTACAAAATATACAAATACATAATCAATATTCATACAATACAATTACAAATAGTCAAGATTTAAATAAATGGCAATTGTATTAAGTCAACACAAAATGTAGTAAAAATTAATAAATTAAAATTAAATACTATAATATTAAGATAAATTATATATTTATTTTTAGGTCAACTGACTTATGTTTTTTAAATAGTATAAAATGTAATTATTGTCATTATATTGAAATCCTGTTCAAATTATGATTGCAATTTCTTTTCCTTAAAACTAACTATTTTCGGTACATTTATTATTTAATTTTGTTTTTGTACCAATGCAGTCGTTACAGACGCATCTGTATTGAATACTCTCTGTACCAAATACTCTTAAAATAAAGTACCTAGTTAAATAAATATATAATATTACATTGTTATACCATTGTTTAAACCACGACGGTATGGTATTTTTATTTAAGAAGAATAATTATAAGTAGAAACAAATTAAGAATTAAAAGAATTAAAAAAAAGTACCTATTCAATAAAATAGTATTCAATACGGAAAAATGTATTTGAATGCTTTTACTCAAATACCTTACAACACTGTGTATAAGACATTACAGAATTGTTCATTAAAAACAAATGTAGTAAATGTTAGTAAAATAATGAACTTTGAAGTAGGTAATTAATAACCGGAGAACCGAATGTCCTATACCTAATGAAAATATGCCGTGGACCAAACGTCCTATGGCTAATAACTTTCCGGGACGAAATGTCCTATCTCAATAATTGGCGGGGAAGAATCGTCCGTGGACTCGTTTTTTTGATGAGGACGAAACGGCTTGGCGAAACGTCCGTGATTCCTAATGGTAGTCCCCAATGAGATTTTAATGGATTTCCGCCTATGGATCCCGACCATGGACTAAGATATAGTATTATTGTTCTGTGGTGGTACACTGAGTCAAATCGATAGATTCGGTTATTCAATATTCGGTAGTCTCAAATCTGTACGTTTCGCTGGTATACCGCTAAAGTAACTTTTTGAACCAATGCTTATCAATACTCGAATATCTTGCTGGAATAGGAATATGTCATTCGGCTGGTATGTGGTTCAGTGGTTGGCCACACTGTAAACTTATGCTTATCCACAAACTACATAACCTCAATCTTGCCACTGTTGACGGCCCTCTCTTTCGTGTTTGGTTTTTCCACCCAAGTGTTTCGGAAGATTCTAAATAACATTTATTTAGTTCTTTAATTTTATATAAATTACTCTCTTAAGTTTTCCATTAAGTACCCTAACACCATACAAAATGACTGCTGACAAGAAAGTTAAAGTAAAGAAACCCAAGGTAATATAATCTGTAGATTTTGGTAGTTGTCGTAAATCTGGATATTAAATCTAGAACTGGGTACATATATACACGTGGATTAGTATTTCCTTTTTAATAGTGCTACACAACTTAACATTGTGAAATTAGTGTAACAATTCAAAACTAACATCATATTGGTTTTAATTGTATATTTAATTTTTTGCAGGTGAAGAAAACACCAATCCAAAGCGTACAAGTTTTTGGTCGTAAGGTATGTAAAATTCAAAATTTGTGTTATTTATTAAGATGTTGCGTTTAATATTTTGTAATGTAGGTAATACGCTTAATAATGATCATTATTATTTTTGATTTTGTTTTCTAATCGTTTTTTGAATGGGGCAGATTGATTTATTATAAACAATAACTTTTGTCTACAACCTCTAATATTGATAAGAACTTTTTATAATGTCTTGTTTTTTGAATTAAGTACTTATATTTCGCTTATCATCCATCAATAATTGTGAAGTTTATATGTAGGGTTGCCATTATACTCTGGTCCATGAGAGAAAGAACTCATTTCGCTATGTAATTTATGATCTGGGTCACTAATTTCACCAATCCAACATAGTTTGTAGTCGTAATTCTATACAACGCTGCCGTCCGGAATGTTCGAGTGAAGGAATTAGTGCCTAGTTCATTAAACGCTGTCACTTACAAACAAGTTCTTTTAGACCCGGTGTATTTTATACCTAGTTGGGACATATACAAATAAAGATTTCTAATAGTCCCGTGTAAGGAAACAATTGTTGTATACTTATAGCTAAAAATTATACATTTTGTAAAACAAGTTATGTTCAATATTGATTTGCATAATAGTAAATTTATTTTAATACATCACAACAACATTGGCTGATTGGATACTGGAGTGTAATACTACCATTGGCATGGTGAACTAAACATTTTCCAGAGCATAGGCGTAATCTCGGGGGTGCAAAGGGGTGCACTTGCACCCCCTGGAATTGTTGAGGGGGTGCAAAACTATCATTTTGCACCCCCTAAATTTTCTATATTTATAATGTATAATTTTGCCAATTTTTTAAATATTTATAAAATAATGTTAACGTTATTAGACATAATTAGTAACACCTATAAGTTTTATAATCATGAACTTCAAATAGAACTAAAAATCTTTATTAGAATATTCAAATTTAAACAAACTAACTCAAATAATAGTGTATTTTAAAACAAATTAGATTATATAAAACAAGGTGAAATTAAAAATAGGTGTCCTTTATTATCTGAAATTTTAACACTATTTATGACAATACCTACAAACACTATCATCTTGTAAACGAAGTTTTTCCTGATTACGAAGGCTTAAAACTTACCTCAGAACAACTGTGGGACAAGAATGGCTGTCTGATATAGCTATGTTACAACTTACAAATTGATAGAAATCGAGTTATAGATTCTCAAATAAATTGTAATCGACGAGTTCAATGCAGCAGCAACTGTACATGGTAGATGCTTAAGTTTAATTTAATTTTGTTAATTAATATGTATTAATATTATATCAATGTAATAAATTACAGTGTCTACTAATTATTTTAATTTATATAATAAAATGTATTTACTTCATATTATTAATGATAATACTAAATTGTGTATACAATTTTAAATTTTGATTGAGGAACTGGTATTGAAAAAGTAGTAAATAAATGTTCAAGCGGTACCTATTTTGCAATTTTGTAGAAAGTTTGTAACTTTCCTGATTAGTTTTGCACCCCCTGAATTTTAGCGAAATTACGCCTATGTTCCAGAGGCAAGTTACAAATATCCCAAAGTATTAATGCATAATAATGTATTAATATAATATAACTAATTATATTTCAGATCATATTACATTTACTTGGGGATCCACTGGCTACCACCCCACCCCTCTATTTTAGAAAAATATCAGAGGAAATTGCCTCTGAAATTACTGTTCACCACGTTACTGAATACTACCCTAGTGTATCACAAATATTTACCATTGTCAGTTGACTTTTTGTTAGAGTGGTGGGTGATTGCAATTCACAGTATCCCAGATTATACACCCTATTTATATGAATGCAATTTATTAAAATATTTTTAGTTTTTACTTCTGTTAGTTATACCAAATAATGTTAAAATGTTAGTTTTTATTCTTGGATGTTGAATAATTGACTGGAATTTACCTAGTTAATATTTTGGGCTTAAAATCAACATTGATTTGACTGTATTAGACTTGTATTTATTCTTTTCAATGTTCAATTTATACTTGTTGATATTCTATGTTGATTTTCTGATTTTTTTAAGTCTACAATATTATTAGTTTTTATACTAATTGCTATAGTTTTGCAATAAAAATGGTGATATGTTGACTTAATTGTATTTCTATTGTATAGAGTTATATAGAAGTATTAAGTAGATATCCCGCTATTTCAATTAACACTATAATGCTTTAGACAATACGCTACATTTGTATTTATTTATTCTTTTTTTTTTTTTCAAGCATTTAAATAAAACCTATGATACCCAGTAAAATTTTTAAATGAACACTTTTTTTTTGTTATTATTGTTTATAGAAAACTGCCACAGCTGTAGCTTACTGCAAAAGTGGTACTGGTAACATCAGAGTGAATGGCCGTCCATTAGATATGGTTGAACCCAGAGTTCTTCAATACAAAATTCAAGAACCCATTTTGCTATTGGGAAAAGTATGTATATTAAACCAAATTTAGTGCTTATGTATTGTACCTATTGAAGAACTGAGTAAATTAAAATTTTTTTTTTAGGATCGTTTTAATGAAGTTGATATGAGAGTGCGTGTTAACGGTGGTGGACATGTTGCTCAAATTTATGCTATCAGACAAGCTATTTCCAAGGCTTTAGTTTCATACTATCAAAAATGTAAATGAACAATTATATATATAATTTAGGTTAGCATTTATAAAAAAAACTTCTGATTTTTTTTTTTTAGATGTTGATGAAGCCAGCAAGAAAGAAATCAAAGATATCTTAATTCAGTATGATAGAACATTATTGGTTGCCGATCCGAGACGTTGTGAACCAAAGAAATTCGGAGGTCCAGGAGCTCGTGCCAGATACCAAAAATCATACCGTTAATCTTTTTTTTTATATATGTATATTGACTTTAACAATATATGTAAACTGAAAAAAATATTGTTTTTTGTTAACATCACCAACTAGTTAGTGAACCCCTTTATGATGAAATATTATTTATGATAATGAACAAATTATATTAATAACTGTTCATAGATCAATATTGTCAAGTTTGCTTTTACACCATAAAAACACAACTAATTTTTATCAGTTATAACATGTAACATTAATAGATCAAAAAGCTACTGCTTACAAGCCCAATATACACAAGTTAGTGTCAATGGACTGAGTACAACTATTAGCTAAGTTATAGCGTTTTCTATTGTGTGTATACTTTTTCTACACTCTGGGGTCTGAATCCGCATCCTTTAGTAGGTTAGGTCCTCTAGTTCTGCAACTGCAGCGAATAAGTATCATACTTTAATTGCAGAACTTGGCGTTGGATACATATATAACATAAAATCTTAAATCAACCAATCAGAAGTGGAGAACTATGATATAGGCTGGAGGTGAAGGAGATGTGTATCTACTGCACAAAACTAGTACAACTGTGATGATACCTATCTAATTTGTCATGAGTGGGATGGTCTAACAAAAGTTTAATCAAAACATAACCTAGATAAAACCTAAATGTAAACATTATATTTTGATTGTGTCCAAGTAAATAAACTTATTTGGAACTAGCAATAATAACCTAATCACAAGACAAGAATTAAAAAATAAATTCACCAATCAATCTTAAAAAAACTAATTAGCTACTAACCAAAAAGATAAATAATATATTTATTTTTTGATTATATATTTTTAAAACAATTTATATAGAGGATATGCATTAATTTTCAACTTCAACATCTTTGTTGGTAGGAAAGTGAATATTAGATGGATTATTAGGGCCAATTTCACCACTAAGAGTTAAAGGGCGAATTAAGCAGTTAGCGCTTAATAGTAATTAGGGGTTCAAAATTAAAAATTCCCAGTACTTGCAGTATCTGACAAAATAGATTTTCTTATTTTGTTAAGTTGGTAACAAATAACCGAAGATACTTGACATTTTCAGCAATGTTTACATTACAATTTGTTGTGTTTGATTCGATGCTATTTTGTCTTATTTAATATTTATAGACAAAATTCATCAGAACCGTGAAAATATGTTGATTATTTTATAGTTTTTTTTTAATAGATATTTAAATAACAATTTTAGTTGTATTGTTGTAATTGAAAGATGTTTTCTTGGGAATTTGAAATTTATTTATTTTACTATATTTTGTATACACATAATATTTTCAAAACTTTTAGTTTAATTTTAGGCCATGGCATAGTTTATTTATAGTTTATGCTGTATTACAAATAGTAAAATAAATTACATGCTAATTAATAGCAATATGTTTATATAGTAATAGTCTGACAGACGGTCTTTGCTCGGAATCTTTTTTCTTGATTTGATTTGTCATTGAATTCAAAGTTAACACATCTATTAGTGATACATACTTAATAACCACAATTGTAATGCTGAACAGTTACCTATTTTCCCCCTGTTTTTAATATTGATCACTATGAAGTACATTAAGTGTATTTTACAATCTCAAGTATATGAGAATAATAACCAACATGTAAAAAGGTTTTTGAAGGCAAATTCATATTTTTTTATTACTAACATTTAGTTTTTCTGACACCCGGCAGCAAATTATTTTCTTTTTAAAATGTCCAAATTGACAAATAGTTATAGGTCAAAGAATGATTATGTAAATATGATATATTATTATGTCAATTAACATTGATCCCAAAAATACATCAAATAAAACTAATTTACAATTCTTTGTTTTTCATTAAAATTAATTTTTTTTATTCGTACATAAAGAAATATAAATATAAATTATAATATGAGAAAATAATAATTTATCAAACATAGATACTTAAACATACTTATAATTTAACAATAGTAATGTAATATTATTGTAATTGAGGTTACTCAATATGTTTTTGTGACTAAATACCATTACAGCAAATCAATTTGTGTATAGTCAATTAAAATTAGATTAATTATATAAATGGTGTTATATACCATAAAAGTTCAATAATTAAAATATCACAGAAATTGTCAGTCAAGTCTCTTCAAATCTTTTGAAGTCTTAAAGTTACACTTCAATTGTTAACGAAGATTATGAAGTTGTATAATTGTATCATACACATCTTTATTCAACAAACGGCTGTTTACCAAACACTTCAATGTATTTATGTCGTCTATGGCACATAGTTTATCCCATACAATATTATCACCAATAATCGATTTGAACATGTCAATTTTTTTAGATAAGATTTCAGACAATTCAAATTTTGGTTTCCATTGCATCAAACGTATACAGCTGGTCAAATAATCTACAGATCCTAACACCAAAATGATTGATATCAGTGACTCTTCAATGTATTGAGAACCTAAAATTTTAAATTTTAAAATGTTCATTATTAATTTAAACCGTGTCAATTTTCATGAATATAATAATATTGTACTTACAAGGTCGGCTGTCATTCAGATATTCAATAAATTTATTCTGCAATATTTTGTAACTATTATAGATGGTGTTATAAACATGTTCTTTTCCATTTTTCTTAATACCATTTATTGGATCTTTGCATTTCATTAGATAAGTGGCTACAGTAGTATTACAAGTTATCTTGAAAGGTTTGATTGCTACATCTAAATTTCAAATACTGTATGAATTACCTAATATCATTTTCACATATTCATTATTAATACTTACTTATCGAGTCCATAGTTAGCACGGCATACACTTCGTTTTGTTGAGTATTCAGATAATTATCAATTATCGGAAACAGACAGTTGACCATGAATTCCACCAGGTCTTTAGGATCACAACATTTTAAAAACATGAACACAGATACAAAAAAATCTATAAAATAGTTAATCGTCAATATATTACATTCAAGTATAATTTTTGTATATAAACTTACCAGGTTTATGTATATGTTGAATGAAATTAGTTGGCATGTCTATACTAAATGTGTAATTGAAATGACAAGAAAGTAAGTTGATCAATTCTCTTTGGAAAATATCACAACCAACAGTTTCCTCAGAATAAAGTTTCTTTTTTGCAATCAAAAATGACATCGCGGTGATAATAACTGGATCTAAATAAAAAATTCATTGTAATTAAACAATTTATAATGTTATCTCTGTAGTCTGTACCATTATTTGAAGAATTAAAAAACAAAACTGAAATTGCTTAATTCTTATGCTTTCTTATGTTATAGGCTATAAACCAAATTAAATATAATGTTAGATTTTAAGAAAGGCAAGAAAAACATTGATTTTGCAAATATTTTAATTATTACAGCAAGTTTCAAAATTGCAAGTTGCTCCAACTTAGTTATAGTTTATAAAATTTGGCAATTTAAGAATATTTAAATATCTCCGTCATATCACTAAGATTATAGAAGAATTAGTGAAATTGAAAAAAAAAAAGAAAAGAAAAATGTAGTTTTATTTTTTTTTTACTGAGGTCAAGCTAATAAGACACTTTTTTGAATAATATAAGAGACTGTTCAAAATCTAATTGCTGTTTCGACTTGATGAGATCTTAATTGTGTTTTGAGTATAGAAATATATGATTATTCACCAACTTAAGAAATAGTATTAATCCATTATTATATATAATAATATTGTCAATTAAACATTGCAAAAAAATAAAAAAATTATAATATCGGAAATAATAAGCATTAAGTTGACATTGTATCTGCATTGGTTGACTACAGTGCGTTTCATAGCAACTGCGACCTGACGATAACGCACTTCATGGTGGTTTTGTCTCAAACCAGGATCGAAAAAATGTGTAAAATATTCGTTATCAATTTTAAATTTGCCACGCATTATAACGCGCTAGTTTTAGAAATCCTAATGAAAAATTGTTAGCGTCAAGTCACAGTTGTTATGAAACATACAATAGGTCTTATTAATGCATAACATGGATACTTTAAGTTAAGAAAGGTCTATTATACTCTGTTATTTTGAATATCAAGAGTGGTTAACCTGTATAATTTATAGGTATAATATTAGCTAGAAAACTGGGTAATTTTAATTTTGATATTTTAATTTTAAAGCAAATTATAGCTATTTTAAAACTTATAATCCTAAAATAGTAATATAAAAACCGATATACTATACAGTATACACACTACATTGTACATTAATTGCAATTTCATTTAGTATATTAATTATTAATATAGACAATTTTAAGTTAACTTGTTGAATTACATATTTACCTTCTTCAATATTTATACTTCTAGGTAAGCAATTTTTCCACAACAACAAAGATATGAATATGATACAACAATATTTGTTAGGTAATAAGACCATTGAATCAAAAATAAATATCTGAAGAGTTTTCAGCAGTCTTAATCTAACACAAATGTCAACAAAATATACCACTTGTTTAATTAATTGATTATCCTGAAAATTAATAAATTATATAAGTTTACAAAAGACAAAAATTGGTATGTTTCCGTAATTTCAACTACCGCAGTGAACAAAAATGATAACAATATGACATTACCATTTATGTTCACAATTTATGTCTCCAAATATACACTGTATGACCAAATTAACTATACTGGGTGATTCTTTTATCAAACAACACTCATTATTTCAAAAAGTGTAAATTTTTTTGAAGATATTTTTTTACATAGTTTCAAGTCGCTTATAAAACAACGTTTTTAAAAAACTTAAAAAATTATAAGCATAAAAAATATTTAAAAATATAATTTTTTAAAAAAAACGTTGTTTTATAAGCGACTTGAAACTATGTAAAAAAATATTTTCAAAAAAATTTACACTTTTTGAAATAATGAGTGTTGTTTAATAAAAGAATCACCCAGTATAATACTCTTCCAGTGTAATTGTTTTACTTTAAAAACATTTTCTTATAAATTTCACCATTCTTTCCTGGGCCCCCAATTATATTATTTGGATTTTTCATAATTATTCCAAT